GCAGGAACCAGACCTGGAGTTCTTGTCCGTGAGTATGGCAATCAACTTGGTGTTCCGGCCTCATCGGGATCGCAACTCTTTGGAGCGAGAGTCTGTGGTACTGGGTTTGAGCGGGTTTCAGGGTGGACAACTCTGGATTGAAGGGCTTCCGGGGGAATGTGCCAACACTGCTATACGGCACATCGACAACGATGGGCAGCAGAAACCTGAAAAGGTGCACGAGCTATCTCACAAATGCGTGAGGTTCAACAAAGGGATGCTACGAACGCTGAACTGCAGGTCCTAGGGCAAGCTTCCTGGTCCTGAAGACTTGGTTGCTGTCAAACTCCAACCTACAAAGCCTTTTGGACCTGAAGCAGGCCAGTTCTTGTGCCAGTCGGACACTGTGGCGCAGGGTTCTTTGATGCTTGTGAACCGTGCTGGCCAAAAGCATTTGATCACAATACGCTTGCCAGCTGTGATTGATAAGAAGCCTGAACAGTGGAGAACGCATGTTGCGCCTTTGGGTGACTTGATCTGGGTCAGCTCTCTCTAGGGCAAATCCGGGATGGTGACGTTGTCCGAGATCCTGGGGTAGACCTGGGAATGCTTACTGTAGAGGAGCGTGAGCAAGGGCAGCATGCAGAGCAAGGGTTTCCGTTCGTGGCATTCGCTTCGGCTGAAAATCATTTTGAAGAGGAGCCAATACCTGTGAACCACATGGCTCAGAAACGCATGGCGAAGGCGGATGACAAGGCAGACCGCTACAAGATCCTGTCGCACGAGGTAGAGCAAGAGATGGACAAGGCGGAAGGTTGCTCAGCTGGCTATTGACACGATAGATGCGAGAGTACTTTCGGATCCTCTGACGCCGGCGGATGAGAAGCTGAAGTGGGTGAATGAGGGACTGAAGCCTGAGCTGCAAACGCTTCAGGCAAAGGATATTTATGATGAATGGGATGAAGCGGACGTGCCACCGGGTGCAAAGGTGCTACCGTCCAAGGTGGTGCTGTCTAAGAAACCTCCTCAAGATGATGCTGAAGTGGACATCAATGAACCCTTGAGTACTTGGAAGGGAACAGCGCGGATAGTGGTGTGCCGAAATTATGAGCAGAATACTGTTGGTCATGATCCGGATAACGCGAGCGCCAACCCTGCCATTGAGCATATCAGGGGGAGCGCAGCCTGCCTTGCTGGTAATCCAAGCTGGACAGGACTGGTGTTACGGTGGCGTTCTTGAATGCGAGGATGACAATAAGCACACTTTCGTGAGACCCCCAAAGGTGCTTTCCCGGGAAGGATCGGTGGAACCTTCAAAAGGGTGGAGGCTTCGCCGATTGTTGTACGGATTGCGCAAAAATCCAAAGCTTTGGGAGGCTTGCCGGAATGAAGAGCTGGATGGAAAGACATTCGAGCGAGGGAGGCGTGATGTACTTTCTTGATCCAATTTCCGAGAAGCGGCATCAAGGTACCACGTGAGAAAGATGCAAATCGAGTGCGCACTTGTCGCTGGTGAAGGTCGCCCGTTGTTGCCAGCTCCACAAAAAGTCCCCAAACTCTCGCTCGTCAGGCCCGGGCAGTGGGCCTTGCAGGGAGTTCCAGTCAGGAGCCTCGTATCCCTGCTCACGAAGGCAGGCCGCAGCGTGGCATGCTGCCGCAAGGGGAAACGGCCCATGAAGCCCGATATGCGGCGGACCAAGCCAAGGCTTCCAAACCGGAACGGGAGATGCAAGGCGTGTTGAACGGGCTCGGGCAACGCGTGTTCAGAGCTTTGGAGCAACAGGGTTGCGAAGCAAGCACGCACGGCCGCGTGTTCACGGCTGCTGGTGCCCGCTCTGCGATGGTGACTGGACCGCCATAGCCATCACGCGGCAACTTGTATCGCGGGAGGAAAGCGTACTCTTCGCCACAATGCGGTGTGGGCCGTGATTTTCGCTTGGCTGGACCGGGCCGGCTTCCATCCCGAGAAGGAACGCCCCGGTCTTCTGCTCCCACAGTCCCCAGAAGTCAAACATACGGCCGCTCTCGGCGGCCAGCTGACATCTGCGCGCCCTCTTTGTCCGGGTCTCCCACTGCACTTGACTTCGCTATTACGGCGCCTCAGCGGCAGGAGACCCTGGCCTTGGCGGGCCAACAGGTTGGGGCGGCTGCAGCCGCGTATGCTCGGCACAAGCAACACCACCAACAGACTGCGCTTGCATGCGAAGCTCAAGGTGTTGTCTTTGTCCCGATGGTGGCTGAGGCAACGGGCACTTGGGATCAGGTGCTGCAGCCGTCATCAAGCATGTTGCACGGACGGTGGCGGCCCGCGCTGGCGAGGAGTTTGGCCCGATTCACTCCCTGTTTGTCCAAGAGCTCTGCGTGGCTGTGCGCTCCCATCGGGCCAAAGCAGCCTTGAGGAGGCGGTTGGCAGCCTCTGAAGGAACCTGGCATCAGTCTCGACTCCTGGCCTCGCTTCATCCGCATGGTGCGGGAAGGGGGCTCTATTTTCCAGAGAGACCGGCGTTAACAGAAACTTCGCGGTTCTCTGCCTGCGGGCCCGTGTGCCCGGCGTAATTAGTAACTAGTTGAGGCGGGGTGCATGACCGAGCTGGCCCGGTCTGGTTCTTGCAGCCTCTGTACGATACTGCTTTGTTTCTGGATGCAGGGTTGTTCTCCCACACGTGGTGTTTCCCTGCATCTCACACGAATGATATGTACTCTTCTTGGCGACTCTAGACTAAGCCTTCCACATAATGCAGCATTCGCCGCAAGTACTCTGAGAGCGACGGCGAGTGCATCAAGGAGGGTCGCTCCGACCTGAAGAGCACAGGAGACAAAAGGCACAGCCGCAAAATGCCGTGTTCTCAGGCGACGGCTCCACGTGCATGGGCAGCATGGCTTCCGCTTAAGCTTCGATCACACCATCCTCAGTCGAAGCCTGTGAGAGTCTAGGTGGAGTCTAGGTCCTTGGTCGAGAGTCCAGGTCGTCTAGGGGACACCCTCTTTACTGGTGGCCAGGTGTCTTCTCTCAGGTCATGTCATCCTTTGAGGCCCTTGAGCCGTGAAAATTAGCTGCAGCCGGGCGAAGAGTTTTCAGTGCCAAATTCATCTTCACGAACGACTGCTCTGAGTTGGGCTGTGGCGGATGTGGCATCATGCCAGAACCCGAACCTTGTCTTGGTATTCCGAAGGAGGTCTGACTGCATGAACCATTGCATCACACCCAGAATTAACGGCTCGTGCTGCTCGCATGCTTGTTTATTCACCTGCTTGCCGTATCAGACTTAAACTTATAACCTATTTGCACGCCCTTCTTGCGGTGGGTCAGCGCGTTGGATTCGACTTGAAGTAGGCTTGGAAAGACAACCAGGAGGGGGGGCGGGCGGGGCTGCTTCGGCGATCTCGCCTGGAAGATTTCATGTGCTCTTTTGCAGGTCTTTGCTCATTGTACTCGAACGGCGGGAAGCTACAACGGGACAGACTCCTAGGTATGATTGTTATGCACGGATCGGATTGACAGCTTGCAACAGCATGCCAATTGCATGTTTATCTTTGGCAGGAAGTGTTCGTGTAGCTTGACAGAGGCTGGAAGTTGAAACTTGTGGGCACAGGAGAAGCGCTACCAAGAATGCAACATGCCACCTTTCCCCGAACCTGTTCTTTCGAACTTCATGGCGCACGCAGGTGATAGCTAGCAGCTGGCGTGCACTTCACCACTAACGAGGAAGGTGGTCCAATTAAAGGTCTGGGTGCCGCAGGGCTTCGCCCTGGGAATGCAAAGAACTCAGAGTTGACACGATTCAGCTTTCCGGTACACCAAAACTGAAACTCCAGCTTCGGATCATGTCACTCCAACTTGGCCTCCGGGACAAAATGCAAAGCCAAATCCTCCCGGTCCCAAACAACTTTCGTGTCCGGTTGGAGGGGGCAGCCGGGCAGGATGGCACAGCTGCTATGGTCTGCGTTGCAAGCACGATCCCGCAAACAAACACACCAAGGGTTTAGGGACTAAGTCGGCTAAGTCGCCTGAAGCTGACTGCGTTGCAGCTTGCGGGAAGCAGAGCTCGACTTACGGGCCGGGCGGCCGGGCGGCCGATGTCAAACGGCAAACAGCAATTCCCAAGCAGTCGACTTTGTACACGGCTGTGAAATCGATGACTGCCAAAAGCACGTTTGAACAGAACACCTGTTCCTCTAATTCATATCGACATCTTGCGGGACGGATCTCCACGCATGTCCTACAATCCTACAAAGCTGTACAAATGTCGAACTCGTCCGAGTTGAGCGATCATTGTCCTGACATTAGCACAGCCTGGCCGCGTTGCGGCGAGGCTTTGCAAAGCCGGCCAATTACCAGTCGGCTGAGACCGCGCCCGTCGCGCCTCCTCGCGAGTCGCTACAGCGCCGAAGACCTCAATTTCGGATGCTCCGTCCGACACTACAGCTGCTGTGCCGCGATCCGCAGGCAGCCCGCATGCCAGGGCAGCTGCTTCGTGCGACGATGCATCTTGGCAAGCGGGACCTTCAAGAGCAGCGAGTGTACCAGCCACACATGTCGCACACATCTGCCTCCTCCCGCTCTGCAACTGGAATCAACGTCAAGGCCTCCTGCGATCTTCGGCGACAACAAGTGACTCCGGACGTTGGTCCAAGCCGACCCGGCCACAAGAGTTGGAGATGCTGCGAAAACAGCTGCTGAGCTGCTTGAGTTGCTTGGAAAATATTGCACTAGTCACTAGTAAGTAGGCCCACTTTTATCATCTTGAGATGCACAAAGATTGAGACATGCGTCTTTGCGGAACATAGTGAATGCACTTCCGCAAAGGCTCAACAAGAATGGAAACAGCCGGTTCCCTCAGGAGCAAGAAACAATTTTCTATCAAGAATCAAAACACGATCCGAGGACTTTCCAGCTTCAGGATGAGAACCTGCCGTAGATGCCTCCATCATTTGGCCTGCTGCTTACCAACAGACTCAAAACACGATACGTCCAACTGTGCCAAGTACATGAGGTGCCCGTTGATATGCCGACGTTCCAATTATGTAGCGTAGGCAACGACAGCTGTGACTTGACTGTCGTTGTTGTTTCGGAAACCCCAGTCTTCCGGTTTTTCTTTGCGTTTGGTGGTTGTATCTGTTGGCATGACAACGCAAAGAAGTGTCAAGCCCTTCGTTTGGGTGTTCACCGAGATGTCTTTGATGCATGTGCAGGTCGCGTGCATATGCTGCCCATGAAGCAACACTTGTCTACATGCCCAGTCCTCCTGCATCAAGTCCCCGTCAAGCCGTCGAACATGCTGCGACAGGTACGACGGGATCTTGACTTGACACGAAGGGACTCCGTGAGTCTAAGAGTCTTGCTGACAACGGTGCCACAGTCATCACGCCGGGCGGATCCGCATCGCACCTCCGGCCGAGCACGGTCCCCTTGCCCACTCCAGAGCCTCGCAGGCCTCACGCTTGCCATGCCGTTGTCCACGCCATACAAGATTCCGACGTAGCATTGCCCTTCGTACTCGACCTCTTCCACATGGCAGCTCGCGGAAACAAGCGATGCTGTTGCAGGAGTGCCTCTACTCGCTCTCCTGGCTGTGGGACGACGGGCGCTGCATAGACCACCTCCCAAGGGGCAGCGCTCTGACGGCCGCAGATCTGTAAGCGTGTGAAAGGCGACCAAAGGATCGGCCTGCAGGGCCTCTTTGCTTGGCCAGGTCGCCACGAGGATCCCCTGTGCGGTCGTCGCAAGAGAACATTCCACTTGAGCTTCATCGCCTTAGCTTCCTCCTTCCTTGCGGCTCCTTGCCTGCGTGGAGGTCCTGTGCGCGAGCAGAACCTGCCAAGGCGAGGATCGACGCAGCCGGGACATGCACTCACTGGGGAAAGCACCGACGGCTCTGGCACTGGATGCGCGGCTGTCGTCAGCTCACCGGCGATGAGATCCCAGCCAGCCAAGAAGTGCATCAGGGCATCCGAGTCAACCTACTGAGACAGCTCCGGCAGCACGCAACGGGAACTTTGACGGAGCCAGCCTTCCCGACAGCTCGAGTTGATGCCAAGAGCTGCCCGAGTGCCTCCTAAGTTTGAAAGAAGAAAACACTGCGAGATTCTTGCCAAACAGAGGTGAGACCAGGTCTCGTGGTCTCCGGCAGCCGAGGTTGTGGCTTGATGCTGGATCGGGGCCGTGAGCTTCAAGCCTCCTGGGGCCTTTTCTCTTTCAACACCCCCGTCACGTCACATGCTCGTCGGTACAACAGCGAAGACCCTGGCGATCCGGGTGGCTAAAGGCCACTGTACGACTCGGTGCAGGTGAACTGACCGGCCGCCGATTGGCACCTGAGAGGCTGAGAGGCGAGAGACAAAACCTCTCTGCTTCCTTTGAATCCTGCATTCACAATTCTCTCCTTTGCCTCGAAGCCCACATCCAAGGTTTCGGGGGGATGGCTCAGGTCCACCGTCTCTGCCAGCCACTGCGACGATGCGACGATTGCCGGAGCCAGGTCCAAGGTTCGGCGCTTTGCTCCCGCCGCTCCCGCCTCGAAGAGCTGGCGAAGGTCTCGGGCCCCTTTGGGCTCCTCGGAGATCGCGCGAAAGGCGAGCGCCGCGACGCGACCTGCGGTGCGAGCTTACGAGAAACGAGCGTCCTCGGCTGCAGGAAGCGTAGAAAAAGGCGTCTTGGTGCGCCGGCAGGCCTTGCACATCGCGAGTTGTTGAACGAAGATGTCACGCATACAATCTTCTCTTCTGCAGGTTCCGATGCCCGAACGAGCCTAGACCTAGATTCTGGCAATGCTACCCAGCATGCTCCAGAAATTACAGCAACCCTCGGCACGTGCCTTTAGCCGCAAGGATAGTTGCTGCACCTGCCACATAACAAACGCATCAGCAACGTCAAACCGAGTCTGGGCACAGGCGCCTCCAGCGTTGTGGCACGCAACTCCGCGAGCAAGTCGATGACCTCTGCAGCAAGCGATGACAAGCGCAACAAGGCTCCTGGCCGCTTCAGCGCCTCATCGCAGGCCTCGTCGTACTCCAACTGCAAGTCCTGCAGCAGGTGTTCTGACTGCTGGGAACATCAGGCCAGAAGAGGGTCCTCGGAATCGAACAGTACCTGAGCTTCATGTGGTGCTACTGTCTGTGTCAATGTTGCGGCTGCTTTGCAACCTTTCCCGGCATGCCTGCCTAGCTTTATCGACCTGATCACGGTCCCTGAACTTGCTGCTACTGCTTGCAAAGAATTTGCTTTTTCGTGTACGGCTACAGAATGTTACTCCTGGTTTTACTTTGTGTTTGCATGCGCTTTCACATCACATGAATGAGGGACTGTCTGAGTGGCTGGCTTCACAAGCCATCCGAGGCCAAAATCATTAAATCCCGACTGTCGTGCGCGGGCTTGAGCCAGCATCCCGCATACTCCTTTGCGGGAGTGCCTGCGTTGGGGTGACAAACCCGTCGCCACAAAGCCGTGCGTTCCCCACACCGCGGCCTCTTTTACTCTCCCTTACGCGTCCACCCCCTCTCCAACCGCCGCATCTCGGTCTGCTAAGACGGCTTTGTGTCATTGCTGCCACCGTTTGCTCCGGCGCGTGCGAGGACCTCGGCGGGGAGGGACCTGAGCCGTGGACCGATCCTCTTCGCATGTTTCGGAGCGGAAGACTAGCGGAAGCTGTGATAGATCCAAGAGACGCGACAGCTGCTCTCATGGTCGATTTCGCCTCCTGATCATATGGAATCGACAGCCAAAATGAGAATCAGAAGACATCACGGTGCAGCTAAACGGCTTGGGTTCTGCCATCTCGTTGCAGCTTGACGGCACGCTCGACCTCAACACCAGAACTGTCCAAAACTCTCACGTGATCAGATTGGAAGGCAGCCTCGGGTATGGTGAGAAGGTAAGCCAAAACGGCTTTCTCCTTGACCTCACGTCACCCACTGACCGTTGAAACAACGAAGAGAGCAGAAAGGTAGCAGACAGTCACACAGCCTTGAATTCAACAGCTGCCCCCGCGACCACGCCCTCCATAGCAGTGAGAGTGGGCAGCGATGGGCATTTCAATCCGGCCCGGTGTTTGAGTGTCTGCGTGCCATCAGGCTTGGAGTGGTGATTGTTTCCGCAGCGTGAAGTTGGGCACATGTACGTGCATCTTGAAAGAAATACGACGCATCGGCCGTGACCGGATCAGCTTGCTTGAAGCTTGTCCTGAATGCTCTAAACGAACAATGCTTTGAACGAACAGCTGGAGCAACATGGAGCAACGGCCGTGCAATATGCTTTGGCAGAACACACCGGACCGTGAAAGTAATCGACCGAAAGAGAAATCCCGTGATCCCAGCACTGTTTAAAACTCAGAAAACTGGCTGCACATCGAGTCGTGACCTTACACGCTGTGAAACGGGTCGAGCTCGGCTTCCATTGCAGACCTGCCGAGGGGCCGAGCGCGCCCGCATTGGCGTGTGAGAAAGGTAACCTCTCTCCCGGTCCCAGAATGCGCCTTGCCGCCAACATGTCGTCCACGTCATCGGTGGAAGCGCCGGCAGCCATGAGCACCAGAGCCGCCTGCAAAACACACAGCGAAAAGCAGCTCAGGACCCTTGCGCTGCCTTGAGCTCTCTGCCGGACTCCGCCAAGCCTCCATCTGCTTCTGCTTGGTTTCCTGCTGCTTGGTCCTTGCCTCGGGCACATAAATGCCAACGGCAATGACCGCAAAAACTCAAAGGCCGCGTGAGACTTGAGACGCGGTGGCTTGCTCGCCATGTGAAGCAATCCTTCCAAAACCTTCGGCCTATGTTCTTGAGCCACGTGTTCTGAATTTTCGCCCCTTGATCATTTGCCAGTGCCGCTCGACAACTCTCGGAAGGAGACCGCAGGCGTCCGGGGCAAAAGGCCGGCCAGGGCGCCGGCCTCTTTGCTTTCGCGTTTGCGAGAACGCCAAGACACGCGAGGCAATCGAGCAAGAATCGAAGACCTGCCGAGCCACCCGCAAAGTCTGACGGTGGAAAAGAAAGGTGACTGCATCCGTGTGCCTTGAACTCAATCGCCTCTCAACAGACGGCACCTGAGTGTCCCGTCATCGTCCCGTGCCAGGACGACCGGAGCATCCGAGCCTCATCCAGCTGGAGCCTGGAGGCGTTTTGGTCGGCTCGCCTCTCCTTCATGGGCTCCTGACGAGAGCTTCCCGCTAAACGAAACAGAGCTCGCCAATGCCAACCTGCATGATCTCACCCAAGCGACGAAGCGCCTGAAACACGAAACGCCAGCGAAAAACAACGCATGTGCAAATGCCTGGCCAAGCCTCTGCCCTGTGCTGGCGCGCCGGCTTGTCTACCGACATGTCGCGCAGTACCTCCGCGTCTGAGTTTCTACAGGCCACCTGCTTCGAAGCACATCCCTATATGCTGCACGAACACACCTTTCCTGGCACGCAAAGGTCACTCGTCGCATTACCTTGGCAAGCGTGAACTCGATGTCTATTGCCGTGACCTTCCACAGTGTGTCGTGGAAGAGCGGCATTGTGTCCTCGAACACAACGAGCGAGATGGATAGATGGACGGATAGGCGGATGGATAGATGGCAACGCAGAAAAACAGACAGGTACAGAGATAGAGAGAAAAAGAGACAAAGCACTGTCGTACTAGCCCTAGCTTTAATATACGTGTTATTGCTGGTATTAATACTGGCTTTATCTTGAATATTCAACAACTATGAATGTCAGTACTAGTTTGGTGATAGCATTTTCGCGAGGGTTCGGTAGTACCTGCCGGCAAACTCGGACCGACTGTTCTCGCCATAGAAGCGCGACGAGTTGCCTATGCAAAGGGAATGGTTCGAATCCTCTGGGTCGTTCACAGGCCACTAACTATTGCTGGCACGGCAGTATGTGTTTGTCCCTTTAGCATAATTTTGAGCCAAAGTTGCGTTGTATGCGGAGCAATTAAGATTGGCACTGTCGCATGGCCCGGAAAGCGGCCCCATGCGCACACAAGATGACACAAGGTCCGCAAGACGGTACCTTGTTCTATGTACATGACATTGTGGTCATAGCTCACATAGCGACACCTACGAAATGGACGAGGAATCGAGGTCCGTTCGCACCCCCCATGAGTTCAACGGATGGGCGCGAAACGCGATCATGTTCTTCCTGTGTGCCTTGGCGCGGTCATAAACCTCCAAGTCAAACTTCATCTTGCTGGAAGTCCGAAGTTGCCGAAAGAGAATGTCCCTCAAAGTAATCTCCTCGGGCTGATGATTGAGGCCTGCGATCACGGACTCCCAAGTGTGTATGAAAGTACTGAGATCATCGCCGCTCAATTGCACTTTGAGAAGGTCTGCAAGCGAATACAGTGAGCCCGCTTCCTCGTGGTCTTAAAGTAATGCTCAAACATAAGCAACAACTGCCTACCGCGAACCGCCCTGTTGGCTGAAGCTTCGGACTCCTTGTAGTTGATGATTTGGCACCCCAAGTCCCCTCTTGCCACACGGGACAGTGCTGAGCGGATCGGATTTTGGTGTCGAGGGTCAGGAACTTTCCGGCTTCCCTAAGGAGTTCCATCACCATCCTGCTTGGTTTTCCTGCGCTGCTTCTTTGGTGAGAATTGGCGAATGACACACACTCAGCCCCAGCCATCAAGCTGCACAAAGGATGGCTGCAGTAAGCTCTTCGATCTATACAAGAAGAGCCCCGCGAAAAGTGGCCACGGCTTCCGCTCCACATGCCAAGGCAGGCCAGCGCAACCTTCGAGAAGGCGAGTTCGCTTCAGGCAACAAAGGCGGAAAGAAGAAGGGCTGCTCTGGCCTCACAAGGCACGTCAAGGCTCGCGGCAGCAGGTTGAAAGATTCCATGCAAACTGCGAAAAACTAAAATGCGACTCCTGGTGTCGGCAGGTAAGTGAGCCATGGAACAGTCGGCCACTACCTCTTGAAGGTAGTGGGACAAAGTGCACTGCGTGGAGATGCGAAGCCGCCACATAACATCGGCAATACCCGAACCCTGCCTATGCAAGTAACAAGCGCCTCCACCCCTCACGCCTCCAGGAGTCACGAAACCTTTAGGCAACAACAACGTCTTGCAAACAGCATCCCACCTTCGGCGGAAAGCTGACGGGGAACCGGGCCAAAGCTGGTCTTGCAAACTCAAATTGTTAAAGATGGACACGATCCTCTGGACTGCCAAAGGGTGGCCGACCGAAGCATATTGCTGACGGCCGAGACCACGATTAGCAGTCTTAGGACTAACAACCTTAAGGTAGATTCGATCCCGAACAATACCCATCGTGTCTTCAGGCAACACCAGATGCACTCGCAAAGCAAGTAAAGGCTCAATAGACCGAAGCGCCCCGAAAAACATCAACAACAAGATCCCACAAAACCGCAGCCAACCAAACCCAGCTCCTACCCCAACCATCGCTAAGAGGAGCGCTTCGTCGACTGGCCTTCGATGCACTACCGGTTCGAGAGAACGCCAGATGAACGCTAAAAGAGCAAGGGAGATTGCGTTTCAACCGCACAGTTAAATTCTGCAGGCCAGTAATGGCATAGACAAAGCCAGAATACGGACCGTCACAGTCGTAAGAAAACGACCGAAGCTCCTCAGGAGCTGGTCGAGCACGTCAGGAAGCTCCAAAAGCACTGACAGAGAGACGCGGATCTCAAGACTGACGAGCCAAGTTTGAAAAGCAGCTCAAGCCCTAGCTCCCCTAGCAGCAGTAGCAGAACAGATCCTGGTCTCTGGAAGCGACTGTGCTCGGAGAGGCATGCGGGGACGAGCGCCATGCGCAAACACAACCAAACCGGCTAAACCAAGTAATCTAAATGCAACGTGCGCAAAAGGATGATTATACGATCAGCCACAACAACATAGAACTTACGTCCTCGCTTGCCAGTCTGAGAAGTGTCGCTTGATACAGGATTTTGACGTGCGTGACGGCAAAAAGCATGCAGCATCGCAACAGGATCTCACTTCGGAGGAAGGCGCGAGAACCCTGCCACGGCAGCTGCACTGTCAGCTAAAACGTGCAAGAACCCAACTGCAAAGAATGCGGCTAGGAAACCTTAGTCAGCACCAAGGTCCTTTGTCTCCAAGGAGCCCCGGCTCGACAGAGGTCAGTCATGAAAGTTGAAAGAAAGCTGCGTTTACTCGCGGCGGAGAGTGTAAGCAACTTCTGGAAACAGCGCTGCTTCCACCAGAAAGAGGAGTTGGGGCTCCCAACCCAACACACTCTGTTTCAAAAAGTCGCGCAATAGCCGGGCACACCAAGTATTCACCCTATTCTCAACCCTAATCCTCTCAAGCATTGCAGGCGACGCGTGCGGCTTCCCAGCTACGAAAGTCGAACTGCGGACAGGCGAGGTTATCGCTGCACTAAACGAGGAGCACTGAGGAAAAACTCCCAAGACAACAACCGACTCTTTAAGGATTTGATCCTTGACACTGCAGGGATCAGCATTGGAGCCGCCGCTGTCACTGAAAGCAAGCACCCAAGGAGCCCCGCGATCAAACCTAAACTTTCCCCATTTTTTGGAACTCCCCACAAACAAACAACTCCTGGCGAACAAGGACTCCAATTTGTCGCGGCTCCTTTAGTGCGTAAAAACCTGGCTCGCGAAACAGACGCGAAAGCAGGATGGCTCAACAACCAAGATTGGCAGGTGACATGTGAAGGCGGCTGCTTCATGTGCATTTGCGTCGAAAACAATCGCTGCAACCCGTCATGATCGTCGTCTTGAATGTCGCAAGAAAGTGCATATGAGCACAGAGGAAAACGAAGATTGGAGGAACCCGGGCTGATCCGATGATCAAAACAATGATCTCAACCCTCCGAAACAACCGAAGAAGCCTGCAAATCCTCAAACCCGAAGCAGGACTCAACCGAACTCGAGTGGGGTAACCAGTAGAGCACCGGAAGCCGCTCAAGTTGGGGTTCTTACGACAAGTCAACGACTTGCAAACTTCAACGACTGAATCGTGAGCTTCGCATTCGCCCTTTGGGCAGCTGACATGAGTCGCTCCAAAAAGAGTGCTCAAAACGCCTGGTTGTTCCACAGAGTGCTGGCGGACCAACTCTCCAAGAGATGGCCCCTCAGCAGGCCCATACAGCCATACAAAGAAGAAAAGAGCATCAACGTCCTTGGGATCTCGTTTTAACCTAGAAAACCCACGCAGGTTCGGGGGCAAGTGGCTTCCGCAACGGCGTCCCTCGAGTAGGGTCGTCAGCAGGATTGAGTTTGCTGGCAATCCAAAAGAAACGAGAAGACAAACGACCCGTGATGACCATTTGCATCTCGCTACTAAACCCAGCCCGCAAATCAGTATACATGAACGGCGCCAAAATGCAGGGCTAGAGGAACTCTTGCTTGAGCATCCGGCTCATCTGAATCACGTCCGCTCGGTCAAAGCCTATGAAAATGCCAAGAGAGAAGCAGCAAAAGCAGAGAAGCACAGGATCCTGATTGCGATCGCAAGACCTCGGAATCGCTAACACAACCTGCTGCCACATTGAAGGCTTGAGCAGCAGCGGGTGCACCGGATTTCAGTGGTGACACAAGCTATGTTAGCGTTCCGCTCGTAAACCTCTTGGACCCACTTGAATGCTTGGTCGGGCTGATCCGAAGCCGCCCTAACCGCCTCCCGCACCGCGATTTTCCAGCTACGATACGTTTCGGGATTTGGAAAGTCGGGCAACTGAACGGTTTCTGCTTCTTTGGCTTTCGGCTTGTCGTCATCGTCAGGCTTTTTGACTACGGATTTCAATGCCTCAGCAAGCAGTTCCGTAGCGCCTTGGGTTTAGCCGGCTCAGCTTTCTCACTATGGGTCCCCACTTTGCCTAACCCCGGGAAATTCCAGAGGCTCTTCAGGGCATTTTGGGGAGACCACAGAAATTCAACACCGGGAGACCACGGATTACCCTGATTCTGAACGCCTGGTGTCGCGGCACCACCTTACGGTGGGCTTGACTGCATGGCGGAGCTCTCACTGAGACCAATCGAATTCGCCGGCATGGCGCCACCTTGCGGTGGGCTATTCTGCTCAGTCGTCAAGACAAACCTTAGCGAGTTGACCTCAGCTATAAGCTCCGCATAACGATCCTCAAGATCAGCAACCAAGTTGTCATACTGTTGTTCCCCAGAGGTCAGATGGCAGTAGGATCCGTTTTCCTCCCATTGAAGCTGCTCCTGGAGTTCACAACCCAAGTAACCAATCAGTTGGGAGACAGAGAAAGAGAGGGAGGCAAGCAGAGACGACAGACGGACACAGACAGTGTGAAAAGAGCGCGCTGGCGAACACTGGTGAACAAGCAAGGCGAATCCACAAATGATACATGAATGCCACCTTGAAGGCTTCTGCGACTTCAGCTTCGTCTCCGCCTGATACGAGCTCCCTGTTCATGCCCGTCTGCTGATGACGCTGGTGACAATGGCTGTTATTTGCTGTCCTGGAGCCCAGTGGGCATCTTCTGAAGTGTCCTTCATGGCCATGGAGGCTGAAAACCTCATGGAAACAGCGAGCTTCCGCGAGGCCTCGGCCCTGGGAGTCGCCTTTGGGTCTTCCGGTGCCGAGCCTGAAGGCATGAGGCATGCTGGAGAAAAAGAACTGAAGAACTGGCCCTCTGCGATTCGCCCTTTGATCTGCGGGCCCAGGCCGAGCCCCATGCCTCCAGCGGAGTCCTTGCTGTCGTTGCCGCGGCTCGCAGAATCCTGACAGGTCGCGGCGAGCCATCGAAGGTGCAGAGACACGTTTGCTCCTCCAAGATCAAGAGATTCTCGGCTCGGAGTCTGCGAGGCTCCAAGCCGTCCTTGAACGAGCCCCCGACGAGTTCCGTCGCTTCGCGTGTCCCGTCTCTGGCCCCGTGAGCCCGACCGACAGGAAGTGGACAACGTAGCGCCCAGAAGACTCGTCAAACTCTTCGATGACACCAACCTCGAACCAAACATGAAGCCTTCCGCCTTCGCACTTGCAAGACATGCCTCGTCGTTCAACTCTGTGTTTGTCCTGACCGCGCAAGCCCTCTCCGAAGACGCATGCCTACATTATCCGGCACGGATCCGGCACAGGGCACAGGATGGCACAAGTCTTGTCCTGAGGTTGCAGAGCACCACGATGGTACCAGGGCTGAGGATATCCTGCACTGCGATGGCGGGGGCCGTGCGGCAGAACTGCGCGAGCCGTGTGAGCCGCCCTCCTCTGCGCCGAGCTTCCCCCGACCTCAGGAATTTCCACGACTGCACCGCTTGCCAGTCCGAGCCGCCCTAGCCGTGCCTTCCGCAGGAGCATTGCTCGGGGAGCTGTTCCCCTGAGCACACAGAAAAAGCGCAGCGCTCCGAACTCCGCCTCCTGAGCTCCGCAGGAGCTCCGCGTCCCTTCTCTGCCCGTGCCCGCCTCTGGAGCTTCGCCTTGGGAGCTCAGAGCAAAGCCGAACACGGCTGACCCCACTGAACGCCCAAACCCCCTTTTCAACAGACGAGACACCACTGAAGTGCATTGCTCTGTCTCGCTCTTCACTCTCTCTTTCGCTAGAGCCAGGGTGTAGTAGGGGTTTGACCCAATTTGACCCCCTACACTGTTTGCTTGCTTGCTTCCCTACACTGTCTCTCTCTCTCTCTCTCTCTGCACGAGCGCCTGGCCTGGTCCAGCAGCGTTTGTGGTCGCTGCGGCTTCCGGCGCTGCCGCTGCTTTGGCCTCCTTCCCCTGCTCCTCCTCCTCCTCCTCCTTCTTCTCTGTTCCTTCCCTCTGCACGGCACTCTGCCTCAGTGCTCTGGTAGTGAACTGCCTCCAACGTGTGCTCGTTTTTGAATAAGTGCTCGGCTTCGTTTTCTTCCTAGCCACTCACGCAAGCAAGGAACTTGGCAAGGCTCTGATCAGGTCTGCACCTTTCTGCTGTTTTCATGATGCTGTTCACGGTGAATGCAGTGCGTCCTCAGCTTGTAGGGACAACGGGGGCATCTTGGAGGCTCGAAGAAGAGCAAAGGCTGGGGCCAGCAGATGCTGCAAGCTCTCCCTTCGATTTCATCAGGTGAGCCTCTCAAAAAGGATACTGGTAGAGGCAGGGATTGGCAGCGAGAGAAAGGAGCAAGATCGAGAGAGAGAGAGAGAGAGAGAGGGAGAAAGAGAGTCCAGGCGGGAGAGAGTACGGTCTTCGCATTCCTGCGGGCCTTCGCCCGCATCTTCGCCACGAGGCGTGCTGTAGCGCTGCCGGCGAGCCACCTTGTCTGCGGAGTGAGACCAGAAGAGGAGACAAAGCTTCAAAGGCCATCTTCTGTGCAGCCTGCGACTGACGCCACCCGAAGCTTCTTGTCCAGACTCCAGACTGCCGAGGCACTGCTCGGCAGCGTTGACATAAAGCCAGCCAATCAAGTACAGCATTTCGAGGCCGGAAGGAACCTGCCGGAAAAAGAGTTTGGCCCAGGCGCGGCGCACTCTGGCAACTTCCCCCAAATCTGCCCTTCTGCCTGGGAGAGGCGTGTTGCTTCTGCCCGCTGTGCTTCCTCCCAGCCCTGAGAACGAGAGAGACGCCAACAACCCACGGCTCCTCACGGCTCCGTGTCCTTTTGTGGGTGGGTCCCGGGTGCCTCGTCTTGGTGACTCGCATCAAGGCCTGAGCGCTCAGAACATAAGCCGGACGCCACGACCGAAGCTGCGACGAAAGCGGAGGAGCCGGGGAGCAGCTGTGCACTGGGCACAAGCCTGGGCCCCCTGCGACTGGCCAAGTTCACGGCGCACTGCACCTGCCTCCGTCGCTCCAAGGCCTGCCGCGGCAGCCCTGGCAACCCGTCCCATGCCCAGGTGTGGCGAAAGCAGAGCGCGCCAGCATTCGCTTGTGGGCTCGGCTGACCTGCAAAAAACGGGCAAAGGTGCTGCCGCTGCTGCTTCTGAGTGCCCCGGCTGCTGGCCTTCAATGCATCAATCTGTCCGCTCTCCTCGTCTTCAGCAATGATATCGCGCATCATCAGCCTGAGGCGAGTGATGTCGAGGAGTGGGGAGGATGCTCAGAAAGAACAATTGATATGCTCTTCCACTCCCTGTGACATCAAACATCGTGCGCCGCCGCTCTGAAGTTGCTCAGGCTCAAGTTATCTGACCTACGACAAGCTTCCGGCTGCAAATCCATATCGATGTCTTGCGCCAGGCGCAGACGACCAACGAACCTGCTAGTGACCAACTTGACCGTACTGCAAAGGACAAGAAGGCACAGAGCATCGAGGGTTCACTTTTTCCGGTGCTGGGCCACAGGCGGTTCGAAGTGGTGAGTCCCGAAAAGAGCTGCGAAGAACACAACGGGCCTGTGCGTGTGGCACATTTCGTCACATCCTGCGCCGAAGGCCCCGGAGGCCCCTGCTCAATCTTCGGGAGGTTAGCCGCGGCAGTGTCCTTCGGGGCTTGCCGCAGAAAGGCTCTCTTCGGCGGTGTCACTACGTGCTACGCAGCACTCGCAGAGACCTTGCCAAGCTCGTCGTAGGCGCGCCTCTTATGGACCAAGCCGCACACGCTTTGGACGCGCCTACTTCGAGCTACTGAAGCAAAGTTCTCTCTCGCTCTCTCCCACACGCACATATAATGCGCGCAGACACACCATATCGCCACATAACAAGAAAGTTCCCCTCTGGGAGACGGCACTGGGACATTGAACAGAAGCAGCTGCATGGTACAGTATGCATCTGGAGACTGGACCGCGCGGTGTACAAGACGTGGAGATACCACGACACCGGGAAAGCTTAGGCAAACCGCCGCAGAAGACGAACCACGCCGGGACGAGACCAAACAGGATGCCAAGATCGAGACATCCGAACATGGACTGCGGGACACCGCAACACCGACACCAAAGCACCGAGAGAAAGCCTCGTTCACATGTTGGCAACACGGAAGCAAAAGGCTCAACGCCAAAACAGGTGAGAACAGCCGGCCGCCTCCTTTCCTCGTCGCCAAGGATCCGGTAAGCGTCGCTGACTTCCTGTGGTGATTTCACTTGAAGCCTGAGCTTCCTCCAATTGAAATCCGAACTTCGGCTGGCCTGGAACTGCTTCGTGGCTTCTGGGTTGTCCGGATTCTTGTCCGGGTGAAGGGCCTCGAAGCGAAAACCGGATGCTCATGCGCCTCATCTCTGACACCGGGCGACGGACAAGCGACTTTTTGTAGAAGGCTCTGCGTATGTCCGCCTCCGATGCCTCTCAGAAGTTACTTGGCTGCACAACGCCTTCACGTCTCATCTCACTGCAAACAACAACACATAACAACACGAAGGCTCAGCACTAGGCTCTCCACAGAATCTAGCCAAACGAAGGAAAGGGCTTGGGGGCAGGTGCCAAATATGGGCGATGGTTCGCGTGCTTGCTCTTTGTTGGGTTTCAGACGGCCAGCTTGCCCTGCCTCAGGCCGCACGCCTAAGACGTTGTACAGCTCTGTGTGCTGGACCTTCCTGGAAGTCGAGCCGGATGAACGGGCACGGCTCTCGCCACCCGCCTGTCCGCGGTCTCATGGTGAGAAAACACAATCTCGCGTCCTCGCATCCGAGTCACAGGCCTCCTCGCAGTCTTCGCACAGGACCTCTCTCTGCGCGCATTACGTGAGGCCAAACATGGCCACAAAGGAATTCCCTCAGCTCCCAGCTTCCGCAGCTTCCTCAGGCAACGAGTACCAATCCTTCACGGCACGAGGCAGGACGAGGCACGAGGCTGCACTCGCCATGGCTCAAGAGGCCTTCTCCCACTTGCGAGCATCTGAATTCCACACCTCGAGGTTTCGTGTATCCTAGGATTCCTAAGGTGCCCTGTCGTCCCCCTCCTCCCTTGTCGTGAGAGCTTGGCCTCTCCACGAGCCGTGCGCAGAATGGCCCCCGGCGTGTTCACGACGCCGCGGACGATCTGTCCTCACAGGATGGCTTCGTTCGTTGCATGACGGCACATGACCGCTGTCCCGAGTTCTGAAGAAAGCCTTGCCGCCTTGACCGCTTCATCTAGTGACGCCTGCATGCTGAGGTCCGGTCCACTTCCCACAACAGTTCCGGCCACGGTGCTCCCAACGCATGTGGCCAAGCCAGTACCGCAGCCCTTGGCAAAGCCCTGGGCCGCTGTACTGTGACGAGATACGAGACACAGAGCTCCGTGCTCCGGGCTCGGCGCCTTGATGCCTCCACACTTGGCCCCCACGTAGGGCTGGACGACCTGACACTGACCAGAGCCGTTTTGGGCCCCGTCCCTCGAGGCGAGAGGCTCTGCGGCTCCCGGCCAAACTCGCCAAGCCCACGCCCACGCCCCTGGCCGAGCGGAGCAAAGCCCGGAGCAAAATGCGGTGCTCTGTGCCGCCACGCCGCTTTGCCTCGCCAGGGTCTTCAGGCCGCTGGCCGTCCCCGCCAGGGCATCGCGAGGCTTCCGCACGGAGAAGACGCTGCCGACCGCGGCCTCCGCAAAAGCGCATCTGTGCACACAGTCCACGCTGGGGGCTCGCCGCGAGCCTTCAACATCTCCACCTCCGCCTGCTCGCGCTCCTGAAGCCACGTGGTGTCCGGTGTCGTTTGTCCCTCCGCTGCTCACTTCCGCTCTGCTGGGCCCTCGGGCTTGCTGCTCCTGCAGGCGCAAGGCCAAAGCCTCGTGCCTCAGAGCGGCTCCCTTCTCCCGCTTGCCGGCTTGGCTTCACCCCAAGGCCCCCGCCGAGCGGCTTGCTCGGCATCGTAAACCTCCGTCAGCAAGCAGCAAATCGTTCAAGCTTTTAACCTGGCTCTGAGTTCCCCGCGGCAACATCGGTCGAAAACTGCCCTGCCTCAGTGCGCATCTGATCCGATCCAGCCCTGGCATGCCTCTGTTTTGATGCCTCCGGGCACGTGTCACGCGCCATGGGGACATTGCGTGAAAAAATTCTCAGTTGTTGTCTGAAAGTCTTCATGGTTCAACTGAGAAGCACTCTGCTCAAGTCGGAATTGTCAAGAACTGTCTTTCAAGGTGTCTGCACGCTTGCATGACGGCTTTGAGTGGCTGTGATGCAACTCGGACTGATGCATGGCTTCAGTTGCACATCATGAAGAAGCATCTAGAGTGCATGCCGTCAAGTCAAGCCAACTTGATCCACTTTTGTCCCTCACCGGCTCTCGGCCAAGAAGGCTTGCCGAAGCAAGTTGTACCTGATGTGCACAGCGCAATCAATGCAACCACAACATGGTTGTCCCAATAGTGAAGAGGCTTTTCCCAATGCATAGGACAGGAGGTATGTAGGTCAGCAAATTCTATTTACAGCCTGGTCACATGGCAACCTAGCTACGATGCGGAGGTGCACCTGTGGCACCTGTCTCCACAAAAACGCCTCTTGAGCAAGGTCCGCAGAAGAAACACTCAGCCACGACCATTCCCGAAAGGGACAGGGGTGGCTTCACTCTTTTCTGCGGGCGCATGCAGGGGCTAAGGGACAAATGCCAAACATGGCAGCCGGCACAACTTCGTCATGGCCATGTGACACCCATGCAACCTTGGAAAAGAAATGCTCGCAGCCTTAGAGCTCGTCCTTGTCGCCGGTTTTCGCCTTGAGAATTGCGATCTTGTAATTCGTCTTGTCCTTGAGCTTGCTCAAAGACTTCCTCGGATCAAGGTCCGTTCTTGCACGTCTTTCAGTGTGTCTACACTTCAGCTGAGCATCTTCAGATCTTCCTGCTTCTTCATTGTGGCCATGGCTTCTTCCTTTTGCTTCTCGAAGAGGTCACTGGCGGCCTTGTATTCCGCCTCCAAGTCCTCCATCTCCTGCACGCTGTGAGACTCTCTTGCTTGCACTCGGACAGAGACTATCTTTTCTTTTCTTTCGCCAGGGCTATGGTGTAGGGGTGTTACCCCCTACAGAGACTCTCTCTCTCTCTCTTCTGGGCTCTCTTTCTTTCTTTCGCCAGGGCTATGGTGTAGGGGTTTGACCCCCTGGGCTCTCTCTCTCTCTCTCTCTCTTCTTCTGCAGGGCTTAAGGGGCTGGTCAGGCCCCCCGACCTCGTGGGCCGCCCGTTTGTTACGGGGCTCGCTCTCTTTCTTTCGCAAGGCTAGAGGGCAAGCCCCCACCCAGAGGGCCGCCCCTGCTCGCTCTCTCTCTCTCTCTCTCTCTCTCTCTCTCTCTCTCTCTCTCTCTCTCTCTCTCTCTCTCTCTCTCTCTCTCTGTGCATCTGACAAGAAAATATGAGTCTGCAGTCGTCTGCAGTGGCCTTCTGCATCCTGGCTTTCTCCTCCTTCATCTTGTCTGCCGCCATCTCTTTGATCTCCTAAGAAACATGAAGCAACTTGACAGTCCCCGCAAGGCCACGAGCACAGGACCAGTTGCACTTGCACAGCTTCTCATGTCCTCCAAGTATGCGTTGTCTTTCTTGTCACAATTCTCACCCGTGTCGGGAACACAAGGCATTTTGGCTGCACGCTTCACGAACTTGTTGAGTGCCTTCAGGTCCCGGGCGTCTTCGTACGGATCTCCATCGGGAGATGTGCTCGGACTGAAATACTTGAGGGTAGGGTAGCCCTGGACGCCATACTTGCTGCACAAGTCTTTGGCCTCCAGCTCGCAAACATGTCAGGTCGGGTCCGCTTCGAGCTTCCGCGCGATTCGATAGCGCTCCGATGCGAATGTGTTAGGCAAAAGACTTCTAGTTCCAGCCCGAGTCGATTCGAGCCTAGCCTAAAGCCTAAGACTCTGCCTCCCACTGCCTAGCACTTCACCAGTAAGAAACGGGTGACGTTGTCCATGGTGCAGTCCACGTCCACGATAATGGCATTCGAGTCAGCTTTGTTCCATTTGGAAGCCAGCTTGTCCTCGGCAAGAGGTTCCCCCGTCTCCCCCCCTACCTTCTGCAAGAGAGAAGGGGCCTTGAGGTTTTGAGAAAAGGCTGAAAGCCCCCCCCAGCTTGCCGCTGGGACCCCCACCCAATCAGGTTTCAGCTTCTTGCAGTGACCTCACCATGGTGCCAGGAACTTCACGAAGGCCATCTTCCCGTTCTTCACCGGCTTCAGGACCTTCTCGTCCCAGTTCTCCGAGGTTGCCTCGAAGGCTTCCGCCGCCACACCGGTCACGGCGCCGCAAGCGGCGACCGCCAGCAGCTTCCACATGACGCCGACGGTGCCAAAAGCGGGGCGCTGTTTTTTTGTAACAAGAAAAGGCTCTCTCTTCTCCTAAGAAGCTGCGGAAGGAAGTCAAAGAGTCAAACTGCAAGTCAAAGGCCACGGCACAAAGAGCTTGGGCATCCTTCCAATCGCAACCGGCCTCTCTCGGGACGGTAGATGGCAACTTCCTTCTCCTCACAGAAGGTACAAAGCCAACTCATCTGACTGGCCCAGTGGCTCTCTCTGATTGCAAAATCCTGCCGATGCCGGCTGCAAGCTCCCCGGTCTTCCATCCGCACCGTCCAGACCTCGAGTGCTGATACAAGTAGGGCGCTTCAGACAACTCAGAGGCTGGGACTCTGACCTGTTGCGTCTCTGTGCCGAGAACTGTCGTCTCGAGACCTTTCGCGTGCCTGCCATATCAGGGGAGAATAGCGACTAGCCTTCTGATGCGCTGTGGCTAAGCACTCTCTCGGCCTTCGGAACTGCATTTTCAGACACCTGCAAGGACAGAAGCATTCGAAAACGGAAAGTCTCCTTCGTCCTATTGTCGGCCTCGCGGATCGGCGAGAGCGGCTTGCAGCTTGGCAGCAGCTGTGCCTCCAAGATGAATGTAGTGAGATGCGGCCGGCATCCTTCCAGCGAAAATGGCGCCAACCCCAACCTCGACTGATTGGAGCGGCGAAGCGGCTTCCTGGAGAGACAAAAAAACGGCAGCCGCCGGTTTTATGGAGGAACGCTCGTCGCTGTTTCCACATGTGACCGCGAGACCTCCTGGGTGAGCGAATTCTCTTTCAGGGAACTAGCCTCGGTGACTCACCGGCCGAAGTTTGCAGGATCAGTGGGGACCCGATCCAGCCTGCCGTGGCTGAAGCGGTGTTTCACCCTGTCACAGCGCAACATAGTGCAAGAAACCACTTCCTCAACTTCTCCCTCGGAATATGTCCTGGGCAGGCTGGGCTTGCATAGGCTTCGCCGGTGGTGTAGCAGCTTCTTCATGCAAGTCCTGCAAACACGATCACCCCCCAACCGTGAGCAACAGAATTTCGAGCCTTCGTACTGCTCGACTCTTCTGCAGTCTTGCCCAGTCTGACGGCGTGCCTTTCCCTTGCCCCTTGCCGGCCCTAGGCCCTCGGCCCTGGCCGCCTCTTGAGCCTCTGCACCACAACATCGCATTGCTGGCCTTGTCGATGCTTCGGACAGCAGCGCCGGGAGAAGGAGGTGGCGCTTTGGGACAGTGCTCCCTGTCAACTATGCCGGAAGCAGGCATTTCCACCAGCGCTTTGCGCACCTCGTGTGGAAGCCAGCTGTGGAGGTCCTGACAACGCGGTTTGCAAACCCTCTGAGCATCTTTCTAAAGTGTCAGACGCAGGTCCTCGGAGCTTCGCCAGAACGGCTTTGCGCTCCAGCCTGCCGCAAACCGACGGCCACTGACTGCCAACAGCACCTTGAAACCGAGGCCAGCCTGCGGAGGAATGATCATCACCTTGCCACCTGCCCCAGCAACTGAAAAATGCGATGTGCGGAGGAAGGGTTCGCTGGCAACTTTGCCTGGGTTTGTATGCAAAGACTGGCCCAACCTGCACTCTCTCCTCAGGCGAGTTGCGCTGTATTCTGACGTGCCGCTGAAAGTGCTCAACCCACAAGCTCTCCTGCGAGTCTGTGTTTCAAACTTGCTCCTGGGCGAAACTGGACCTGAACAGGAGATTCTTGACTCGCGCTCAAGCGCTTTAATCTGTCGAAGCTGCTTCGGCTCAGGGTGTAAGCTTAAAAGACCTGATTCGCTGTAGCTCACATTCTGCCGGCAGAAAACCTTACCGACGGCGTGTGACGTGCACGCGGATCGATCTTTTCAACCAAGGTTCTGTGCATTTGGCTGCTGTTTTTGAATACTCTCCGGCCTTCGCAAAAGAATTGGTGCAAACTGTTGACGGATCCATTTCCGATGGGCTCTGGACACAACGACCACTCCTGGGAGCATATACAGCTTCAACTCTGGTCGATGCACGAGCCAGCCGACGCAAGTTCTGCCCTCGACGGCAAAACAGAATCCCAACGCATCGGTGGAAGACTTTGGCCTTGGTCACATCTCAGAGGTGACGTGCCTACTACACATTGGGAGATGACCGTCTGTCGCCCCTTCAATGGAAGATCCAGCAAATGTAGGAATATGTACATGGGTCCGCGTGAGGGCCTTCTTTCTTCCTGCAAAAAAGCCTGTTTTATGTTTTTGGCACGTTGACGATGCGAAGTAGCTACTTGTGGCACGCTGTGTGCAAATGAAGCAAAACGCTTCATATCATGACATACCACAGCAATGCTAGTATACAGCCGCAGATCAAGGATGATTCTTCAAACCACCCCACTGAATTGTAAGTGATGTACGAGCTCCTCACTCGATGCAGGCACTGGATGTAGCACCCATCTTCTCGCATCATGATGGCCGACTAACTGCTACTGAAACTTTGGGTGCAAGGTGCAACTTTTTCCAATAGCATTTGTGGCTTATGACATCCTGTCGCATGTTTAACATGGCACAATTTACCTCGTCTTTGCGGGTTTGGGTGTGTCTGTGTGTGTGTGTCGTCTCCGAGTCAAAATTGTCGGAGTTTGGGGTTTGGGAAACCGTTTTTGAGGTGTACCTCGTTCGCTCCTCATCCTCCAATATGGCTTTCGAGGAACACGGGACGAAGCCACAGTCTTCTTTGTTATGAGTGCAGGGCCATTTTTCCGTTAATGTTGCTGTTGTTGTTGGAGTTTTCTTTGTTCCAATCGCGTTCTTGAGGCTTGGCTGCAGACTTGTTGCCATCCACATTTGCTTTTGACATAAGGCTTCGGATCTTGGATGCGCTGTTCCCACTTGAGGTTACTGGGGGTTGAGCACCCATCGGTCCTGGATGTGCCACCCATCATCTTTCCCAATTTGGATTATGCCACATCTGGTTGGTGGGCTTAGCACCCATCGGGATGTTCGGGAATCGAACGACCCACTTCAGGTTGAGGTTGAAACCAATCATGTTTTTTCGAGTTTTGGGCTTGCTGCCCAATCTGCCGTGCTCGCTCGGAACCCATCAGTCATTTCCGGATGATGATGGAACAACGGCGGAGTTGGGTGCACAAACAAACATATCCGAAAGGGGTCGAAAGTGTTGGGTTTGAGATCCGGTATATGTCCTATTAGACTTGGGCTTGCCAAACAGTCCTTGCTTCCAACTTCCATAACCCCGTCGTTCTAGAAAGGCTTGCACTGCTCTACCACTTGCATGCGTCTTTTATACCGTATTGGATCTGTAAGGCTTCGCGGCTAGCCCGGAGGTGCCAAGGCATAAAGGGCTAGCCGAGGCATAAACTCCCCCATTAGACTAGTCTTTGTGAGAAGTCAGTGAAACTTCTTGGAAGGCCAATTGTCACGAACACAGAGTATGCACCCTCGAACATCGGCAGCTGGGTGTCATAGTCCTCCAGAGTCTGTGACTTGAGCAAGCTTAGCCGGCCAGGCCAATACGAAGGCTCCTGGAGAGCCAAGTGGCAATTCTCGAGGGCTGAGAAATGTAAGGACGAAGGCTAAAGAGAGGCTTTAGCGCAGGCAAATTTAGGTGCAGAGGCAAACCGATTTACCTGAGGCAGGCAAGTGTCGGGCTCCGTGAGACATTTGTGAGAAGGAAAAGGCGTCACACAAGTATCAAAAGGCAGTCGGTGAGCTCGAAGAGGAAAGTACCTGGGCGCAGAGGGTTAGGGCGGGTAACCGAAGGGGGCTGGGCCTAGAAGTGTCTTAGGGCGAAGGCTGAAAAAGGAAAACGTAGGCTAGACGAAGGGACCTGGGGCAGGCGATTCGTGGCTGAGGAGCACGCTCGACTTGTGCGAGCACCTGGCCTCGCGGAGGCCACGTTTTGGCAGCGCAGTTCAAGGCTGGACTGCAAGAGGCCAAGGCTGAGCGAGGCTGCAGCAAGAGGCTAAGCCGAGGCTGAGGCTGGGGCCGAAGGCTGGCACCTAGGTGTGGGTGGGCGGGGCTTTTCGAGAAGCCTCAAGTGCTAGAGCCAGTGCTGCGATGTGCTATAGATTCACATGCCTTCTGAAACATACGTGAACAAAAACACGAAACGTTCTAGAAAGGCTTGCACTGCTCTACCACTTGCATGCGTCTTTTATACCGTATTGGATCTGTAAGGCTTCGCGGCTAGCCCGGAGGTGCCAAGGCATAAAGGGCTAGCCGAGGCATAAACTCCCCCACTTCAGGGACAGATCCAACCGGTAAGGCCGCAGGCGAGTATCCCCCACCGCGGGCGGTGGAAATGGACCTGGGCAAGGCAAAACGTGAGGCCAAGCGAATCTGGCTGAAAGACATGCAACCATGAGAGGAAGCGTTCTTTTTGCCCCTGGCATCGGAGCAGCTGCTGTTCGCGTACTGACTGGGTCAGTCGGATTTGGGCATGTTGTGTCCGGAGCTCTGGACCAATGCGCGTGCGAGGCTGCCGAGGCTAAGCGATCAAGGCTGATTCTGACCCGCTCTTGCGGTCTGTGGCTGAAGGCCTGAAGTATCCACGGCTGAGGTCGTCGGCCCATTGGTTGTGGGCCCCTGCCACGTGGGACACCTGCAGGTCAACCCCATGGCAGGATGACCAAGAGGCTATAAGCTGAAGGAACTGGGAAAGCGGCCAGCTTGTGGTGAAAAGCTTATTGATCCCGGCTTCTGAAGGGGTGTTGTCGCTCTGCGAGGGTAGACAGACGGAAAACTGTGAGAAGGCGTGGCGTTCCCTGGCAGTCATGGCTAAAGCTAGCTGTGCTAGCATTTCGAAACAGGCTATGTACCTCTGGGCGTCTTTCGTGAGAAATGGCCAAGTGTTTCTGACCTCCTCCATGCTCCAGGCTTCGGCAAACCATGCCATGCTTTGCTTGGTAGTGATCCATCCACCGATGCCAACTCTGTCCCCTTCGGCCATAGCGTCTGCTCTGGCAAGGCAAGGCACCAATGGTGGGAGGGACAGGCTGGTGGTTGGGATGGCTTCGATGCGCGGCAACAGCCAACGGAGGCTGCCTTGGGCTGTGTTGGTAAGCTTGATTTCAGGGCAGGTGGGGTCCGAGATGCGGACCTCGGCTGGGGCGGGAGGTCGGCCTTGCAATGAACAGGTCGACTGCCGACCTCTATGACGCGCGCTTTGAGAGGCAGGTTGACCCCTGGTATCATTCTGCAGATAACCGCTCTGGAGTCAAGGCTGTGAAGGAAGGCAGGCCACATCCGCGAGGAGATAGAACAGTTGCTTCCTGGCGGGCTGTTCAGGACACTGTATAATGGAGCTACGTGGGCTCTGAGAACTTTGCTTATGGCTGTTGCCCACATGAGTAAGCCGATGCAGGCCCTCAAGGTCTGGCCGGGAAACCTTTTTTCGTGAAAGTAAGGCTTTGAGCTGTGCGCACAGCTTGGATCTTTTGGCCTCGCAAAGGTCGACAGTCTCAAGGCGGAAGTTAAAATGCCACCCGCACCAGACAAGGCTGTCCCCTACTGAAGCCTTTCTCCAGCTGATAGGGGCTGCAAGGCTTGACAGCATGGCTATGAGAAGGAATAGGAGTTCTGGTGCGAAGGCTCGGAGCAAGGCTGAGAGCAAATCGTCCACGTAAAGCCAGGCCTTGCGAGGCGCGAAGGCCAGCGCATGGTGCGCTATGCGTGTGATGAGGCCGCCCACGCGCTGCCACCAATAGGCTGAAAACTTGGCTCCGAAGTGACAGACGACGTACCTGTAAAGGATCTTCTCGAACATGAAGAGGAGAAGGCCCTGTTCGGAACTGTGGACTTTGACTCGTTTGTGGACTGCCTTGAAGTCCACGCTGGCTGCAAGGAAGGCACCCCGCGGGTCTGAAGGCATGAATGTGGCTCGGACGTCATTAACTGTAGGCATGGCAACCGCTTCCGGGATGCGGCACATTGGGTTAACTTGGCATACCGTACTGTCAAGGACGAGTCGTGGGTCTCTGTTCTCCGCCTTGACAAGGCTAAGCTTCCCTACGGCTATGCCCTTGGACCAAATCCGTTTGGCTTCCTCAAAGCCTCCTGGCACTGGCTTGATCCACCCTGCCGCTTCCTCCTCAGCCAAAAGGCTACGTACTGCGTCTGGGTCGGCTTCTGCGGGCTTCCAATTGCCTTCGCAGACCTCCAGGCCCGAGGAGGATAGGGGCTGGATCTTGGCAAGGGGCCATAGCCCAGACGGCTCGATCTCATCGAAGACCCCTGTGTGCACCCCTACCCGAAGCAAGGCTGGGAGGTTCTTGTCCGGGTCGTTAAGGAGATCCGCAAAGGCCTGCATGAGATTAAGGCGGAAAGGCTGGCCGTCGGCAGCTTGGATCATGGAGTTGTAGTCCCAATCCATGACCTCGCAGGCTATTCTAATAAGCTCGAGCTGGTCTTCTTCAGGGATTGGATGCTCCGGCTTACTTTGTGAAAGGTGGGCGAAAATACGCTTGGGAAGATCCCGCTGGGAGGCCCATTGTAACCATGCTTGCATGATGTGCTGCATAGCTGCAGGGCTTGGCTTAGGGTGGCTCAAATCGGCTGAACTGGCGTTGCCGGCGCCGTCGCATATAGGGGCTCGATTTTTGACGAGCTCGCCATGGGTCTGCAAGGCTGAGGTAAGAGTGAGGGGCTGAGCAGTCTTGGTGGACAGGGGCCATAGCCGCGAATAGACCTGCGGCTTCTAAAGCTG